AAGCGGCGGCGCTTAATCGGGGACGACGGCGACAACGTACAACTTCCGGGTGGCGGCGATCGGCTTGGACGGCGATGGCGTGGCTTGAGCGTGGCCAAGGGCCTCACGGCCAAGAGAGAGAGAGAGGGAAATAGAGAGAGAGAGGGACGGCGGGAGGGGGTGATGGTGGCGTACGGCGGCGTGGACGGTGGCTTGAGGGTGGTCCGGTGTGATGGCGGCGAACGGCGGCGCCGGCGGTGGAGAGAATGGCCAAGGAAGAACTCACGGCCAAGGAGAAAAAAATAAAAGGGGAAGGGGTGTTCTTCACGGCAAAAAGGGGAGAGACAGAATGGGGAAGGAAGACCAATTTTGACTTAAATAGTGTACTTGGACCAAATCACAAAATGACCAAAATACCCCTTGCCCTCAAAACTAACCCTTTTGTGATTCTCAAGGGTAAAATGGTCCAATTTTCCGTTTCTTGCCCAAATCAAATTTTTCCAAAGGATTTGAGCGCACCAAAAATTCACACGTGTCACGTGCAACGTCGTCCTGGCGTTCCGTCGTGACTTCCTAATTTTCCGGTGTCCAATCTGGGCAAAATTTCAATAATTAAATTCTATTAAACGCAACTCGAGCATTTCTCGAGCTAACGGGCGGCTTGCTGGGGAAATTCGCAGAATCGACTCATGACTGATACTGAATCGAGTCACGTGCAAGTCCGTTCGGTGCGTGACGATCTCGGTTGTCATAAAAATCGCGAAGATCAATCACTTGATCTGAGGGGTATGATCGTTCGGTATAATTTCGGAATCATTCGTCAAGTCGTTTCGTGGTCCAACGGAATCACCCGCGATTTACTACTAGGACAATGGCGAACTGACCCCTAACTATCCTTGGATCGGCCAACAGTAGCTCAAAATATCACTTACGCGATTTAATGGTCGAAATCCATTCACGATCGAATTTCCTTTAGCCGCGCGAATTTAATTCCCCCTAATAGCCTTTCCCTAATGGTTAGCATCCCCAGGAATGATCAGTTCCGGGCGAGAATTTACCGCGAGCACATCTCATAAAACTCAATTATTCAATAAATTCCAATTTGTGGAAATTTCGGAATGTCACACTACTTATTGTAAATTTCTAACAAATTAACCACGCAACGTGATTAGGTTAATCGTGCAACATGTGTAATTGATGCGAAATATTCCAAATGTAAACGAGTCAAAGTACTAGAGTAGGCTACTTGTCGGTTCCATCGTTGTATTCCAAAATGGACGACCAAACGGGGGTTGCTCCCCCTTCATTTAGAGAAAAAAAAATCAATTACTCATGCCATGTCAGGTACTCACTCTTTCAAAAGAATAAAAAGAAGAAGAAGAAGAAGAAGAAGAAGAAAAAAAAGAAGAAAGAGTAGTAGCTTAACATGTCAAGAACATAAATATTTTTTTATTAATATATGCACAAGGAACGAAATGTTGCCGCGTTGATTTTCAAGTAATGCAACGAGAAGTTCATCGTAACATGGCCCCATAGCCCACGCAGGAGTGCCTATTCCCATTTCTTTTCTTCAAAACCGTGTCAGTCTGTACCCTTCGCTATCATAGAGAATCGGATGCCCTCAGTTTCTCCGTCGTCTTCTATCGACCGTCATGTGCATGAAAATTGAATAGGCTTACTGCTGTGGAGGTTGATTGAAGTGAACTCCCGACAACTTTGGGACTGCCGTGGAGGTGTTTCACGCCACCCCAACATTTGCATATATTATATTTCCACTGTTCCAATGAAAATGAAAACGAAAAACTCAATAATAATTTTCTAAAATCGAAAAAGGGGTACCTGCTTTGCTTTTGTCGCATCTTTTTGCACATGCTTGATCTTCTTATTGTTCAATTCCATTCCCACTTGCCATTATTTGATTTCCTACCATTAACATAACAACAAACGAGGCGTCAGGTTTCGACTTTCGTGCATATGGAACCGCTGTGGACCATCGTTACTCTGGTTTTTTCTTGTAATGTTTATCATGGTTTCCTCCCTTAATTTGACTAATGCGTCCTCTTTTTGGTGGTGCCTCGGGCCCAATTCCCTAAAAAACCCTCAATTTTAGCCTTTGTCCCAATTATATTCCAAACTTTTTTTTGTCTCATAAGAAATTTCAAACTTTTACTTTTATCCCAAATCTACCCCGTTAACTTTTCGTCTAATTTTTTAATTTTTATTTTTATTTTTTTCGAATTTTTTTATTTTTTCTTTTCTTTTCTTTTTCCTTTCCTTTTCTTTTTTTTTGTTTTACCTTCAACCTCTGACTGGCGAGGTCGGCCGTTGGCGAGGCTCGGCCCCGCCGGCCGCTGGCGAGGCTCGGCCTCGCCGTTGCTGGGCGAGGCCGACCTCGCCGTCTTCGGGCGCGGCCGACCTCGCCCGATTGCCGGCGGGGGCCGTGCCTCGCCGGATCCGGGCGAGGGCTCGGCCACGGCGGCCACCGCGAGGCTCGGCCTCGCCGTTCTGCGGGCGAGCCGACCTCGCCCGATTCTTGGCGGGCCGAGCCTCGCCCAGTTTGGCGAGGGCTCGGCCACGCCAGCTGCTGGCGAAGCTCGGCCTCGCCGTTGCTGGGCGAGGCCGACCTCGCCAGTTGCCGGCGGGGTCGACCTCGCCGGCCCCCGCCTCTGGTCGGTGGCCGGACCGGCGACCGGCCAGAGGTTGAAGGTGAAACAAAAAAAAAAAAGAAAAGGAAAGGAAAAAGAAAAGAAAAAAAAAATTCGAAAAAATAATATTAAAAAATTGGACGAAATGTTAACGGGTTGATTTGGGACAAAAGTAAAAGTTTGGAGTTTTTTATGAAATAAAAAAAAGTTTGGGATATAATTAGGACAAAGGTTAAAGTTGGGGGTTTTTTAAGAAATTGGGCCGGTGCCTCGTGATAAAACTCCGTGCACGAATATATATAGCAAGGCACGGCATCTCCATGTCACTTCATGCTCGGTCGCTCATTATAAAGTTCAGTCAACCAGATCCGAAATGCTCTCCCCGAAAAGAGAGTTGGCAAAATCCGACCAGATCCGAAATGCTCTCCCCGAAAATAGATCCAATCCCACCCGAGTTGACTAAGAAAAATCGGCCACTTGTGACCAACTCGAAACCCCAAGCCAACCCACATGCCCACCGTCCACACACTTTTGTTCAAGCCCTCTAACTTGTTTTTCTTTTGCTGATAAAGACGAAATCGCTATTCTCTTGCCATCAAATCCTCCCAAGCGTTAGTGTAAATTTCTCCACTATCACGTGGATATCGATATGTTATTCTTGACTTGACAGATTTAAATGATAGTTGTTGAAACTATCTTTTGGGTGTAAATTAACAAAATTTCACATTAAGCATTCGTACGTGTCGTAAAAAAGGAATCATATAGACAATATTTTCCTACTTACAATAAGAAAATATTTTCATCCTCAACCTTTTATACTTAAAGTTATATGAGAAATGTCTATGTGACAATCCTTAATTTACTGTGAGATTGATAGCTTTAGAAATTATTGTGCGATTCACTCCTTCCAGAATTTGTGGCTCACAACATGATGTTAGTCTCACAGTAGCCCAAAGACTGTTATGCTAGCAAAGCCTAAGTTGTATTCGTAAATTATATAAACGATCATTTTTTATGAAAGTATTTTCCAAACAATTGATTTTAATCAACAATTTATGCTTAACATTTTCGTCGACGAAGAATATATTTTTCAGTCTTTCCTTTTATGTAAATTGTACAAATGATCATTTTCTCTTTATTTTTCGCGAAACATATGCTTCCCGAGAGACTGTATCTTTCCAAGTTTTCCTAATCACCATGAAAATATACACATTAATGGGGTTTCTATTTCTGTCACTGTTCTAAACCAAGTCGAATTCTTACTATATAGTTGCTGAAAATGACTTTATATTTTTTGACCTCTACAGTACGATAAGATAAATTTCCTTTTTTGGATGATAAGAAGGGTATCCAAACTTTTGGCTCGACTATTTTCCATGAATGCATACAGAACGCTTCCTTCCCGTGGCAAAAGACGAAGGAAAAGCAAGAATCATAATTACCGTCTGTAACTCAGTAGAAAAGCTGAAGTTAAATATCACTTCACCCAAAGATTCACACCTGTTCTGATTCTGTCAGCAAAAAAAGAAAGAGAGGGCGAAGAAATTACTTAACGACGAGCTGATCGATTTTTCTATACCTTATTCTGTAACTCAAACAGGAAAAGCTAAAGGCCAACCACTGAGATCCGCATATCCACTGTTATGCTCTATAACATTTTGCTTCCGACTCCGAGCAAATGAAGTGACAAACACAGACGAAGATATGCTCTAGCCGAGGGCACCAGAAATTTGCATAACGAGAAGAGGTTTCTGCTGCTCAGAGCTTGTGACACCAGAACGCTCAATTACCCGAAAAGGTTGGAGCTTACGACACCAAAACATAAACGTAGCAGCAAAACTGAAACACAATCTTTGTGTAATAAAGGTGAAGTGGTGAAGTACTCCCTCTCTCCCGCTCTATCTCCCTATGTTAGCTAGCCTATATCGCCGTTTTGGTGAACTTCGAGCTTTTTCCCATCTTAAAATTATAGTTTTGCAGATGATAAAGAGACCGCTTCCCATGTTTTAAAAGCTTTTGTTACTTCTGGGACAAACACATTGTTTGTACCAATTCATTGATCTCCTCATGCTAGACAACACAGCCTCGTCTTCTCTCTGCCACTCCAAGATAGCCATCGCTTCTTGAGATGAAGAAGTATGTGTACACATGAGAAACATTGTCTGGGCAAGAAACTGATATTCTTGGAAGAACAAGTTCAGAAGAATATAGGACTTTCAAGCACTGACCGATGACCTAGGATTCGACTTAAATACACTTTAAGTAGAAAACTAAAACATTGTAGATCGAATTGTCGTTCCAACCCAGTTCCTTAGTTTAATAGTGCTGGTGCAAATCTATCCATGAAGAAAGTTGGCACTTGGTTCATAAACTATGTGAACCAACCCTACATAAATCATTAATTATGAAGGTCTCAACAACACGGGATTGACATGATCATCGGTTGAGATGGACTTGACATTGGAGCTCTGTGCTTTGAATATTCAGGTATATTGCATATAATCTCCTAAAGCACTTGCACCTAGTGGCTTGATTCTATGACATAGTCAATTATTGAAATTATTTTTGCATATCAAAGCTACGACATAATACGAATATGAAAAGTAACAAACGAGCCAGCAAGCTCGTATCACGCTTGGGTTTACTTTCTGCTAATGTAGGCATTCCCTTTCCGATCTGTACCACCAGATGTTTGCCACTGCCAAACTCACAGCTTGAACATCTGCAGAGCCGAAGTCTCATCGCCTCTCGCGCTGTAGCGGGAAACATACTCCATGATGGTGGTTTCTCTGTACTTTGGTGGATCGCCCTCCGAAATCAACTCCTTGATGGGTCCGTACAGTCTTGGAGATGGCGATGCCGCCATGTAAAAGAAGCACGCCACAGACACTCTCGGCCCCACGTTGTTGGCCAAAACTCTATGCTCGGCGCTCTTGAATATGTCATTGGAGATAAGCTGAAAAAAATGCTCCGGTTCGTGATTAGAAAGTGAACACAACTGCCGGATAAAGAGCTCAGGCTTAAAATGCTTTGCTTGTGATTTATTGATGTGCCTAACAGGGTCTCTAGTGATAAGACGTGGGGAGAGAGAGAGTATGTTAGGTGAGACTTGCCTGAAGCAGATCTCCGATGTTAACTACCAGAGCTCCTGGCACGGGGCTCACATCGATCCATTGATTCTGATGAAGAACTTGGAGACCTCCGACATGGTCTTGCAGGAGCACGGTGAAGAAGTCGCTGTCGGCGTGCTTGCTGGTTCCCAGAGTGAGCTCTGGTTGTGGGCATTTGGGGTAGTACTGGCTCAGAAGGACGAGTCCCTCAGCACAGTCCATGTCCTTCAGATGGTTCGGATTCAACCCGAGCGCCTCCGACAGTAGCTCGAACAAGGTGATTCCTAAATTCATCACTTGCTTCGAGAATTCCAGCATTATGTCACTAGGGTGTTCAAAAAAAATTAGTGGGACAATTCGTCGCAAATTCCTAATCCGTGAGAAGCAAAATCTTAACAAAATATCATGAGACATTGTGGTTGAATATTCTGCAAAATCACTTACCGGCATACCGCCGGCAAGTCCTCTGCCACGGGAGCATTAGGTGCCATAATACAGAATAGGGTGTCCCTCCAATTGGCCGCCTCTGTTCTATACAGATTAAAATTGCTGTGATACGCAACGCCTCTTGTGAAATCTCGCGAATAGAAACGTCTCTTCTCTCCAGCATCTAGCTCATGGAAACGGCGCACTCCATCCAGCATCTCCTCCAGAACAGCGGTGGGAATCCCGTGATTCACCACCTGAAAGAAGCCCCATGTTTTGGATGCACTTCGAACTTCATTCACAACCTCCTGGCGCCGAGATGGATCTTTCGCAATATCTTCAAGGTCAATTATAGGTACACGGAAGTGGCTGTCGCCCGATGCCAGAGCACTTCGCAGGTTCTCTGGGCGTTCTACAAAAATAGGAGGAACTTCGGTAATCCCCGCATCGACGAGGCCCTTGACACCCGCCTTTGATTCATCGAAAGCCTTTAGCTTGCACGTCCGGTCGTACTTCTGTTTATTTTCATTTGCTTCGTCTGTGCTGAACACTTCCATTTTTCTTCCTTACTGAAAACACCACTGACTTCCCAGGTCCGATCTTATGTTAAACGTTGGAGAAATTGAAAGAAAGAGGTTGTTGGAACCGAAAGAAAAATGATGACTTCGAAAATTTGGAACGACTGGACGAATAAAGACGGATGGTGAGTATACTACTCTGAACTTCACAGCCATTTATAATGACTGGTCGCTAACCATTGGGAAAATTCCAATTAAGGACATCAGGTGAGGTCAAATTCTCAAAAAGGGGTCCAAAGTGAACATTGTGTCAAATAAGGACCTGAAGTGCTCAATCAGTCTCAAATAAGGACTCGAAGTGCTCAAGAAGTCTCAAATAAGGACCTGGGTCCCCGGCCGGCCAAAATACCTGCCGGCCGACGAGAAAGTTACTGTTTCAGCACCGGAACAGTAACTTTTTAATTTTTTTTTATTTTCTTTCTGTTTTTCCTTTTTTGTTTTTTTTTCTTTTCCTTTTCCTTTTCCTTTTCTTTTTTTTTTCTTTTCTTCCTCCGCCGGCCATAGCCAGGGCCGACGGAGGTCACCGGCCTCAGGCGAGGCCGCCCTCGCCGGCGTTGGGCGAGGGCCGCCCTCGCCTGGGATGGGAGAGGTCGCCCTCGCCGGCCTCGGGCGAGGCCGCCCTCACCGGCGTCGGGCGAGGGCCGCCCTCACTTGGGCTAGGCGAGGTCGCCCTCGCCGGCCTCGAGCGAGGCCGCCCTCGCCGGCGTTGGCGAGGGCCGCCCTCGCGTGGGCCGGGCGAGGCCGGCCTCGCCGGCGCCGGGCGAGGGCTCGACCTCGCCGTCGGGCGAGGCCGACCTCGCCGCACCGGGCAAGGCCGGCCTCGCCCGACGCCGGCGAGGTCGAGCCCTCGCCAGATCTGGCGAGGCTCGACCTCGCCGGCAACTGGCGAGGCCGGCCTCGCCCAGCCCAGGCGAGGGCGGCCCTCACCCGACGCCGGTGAGGTCGGCGACCTCCGCCGGCCCCGGCTATGGCCGGCGGAGGAAGAAAAGAAAAAAAAAGAAAAGGAAAAGGAAAAGAAAAAAAAATAGAAAAGGAAAAACATAAAGAAAATAATAAAAAAAAATTAAAAAGTTACTGTTCCGATGCTGGAACAGTAACTTCTCGCTGGCCGGTAGGTATTTTGGCCGGCTGGGGATCCAGGTCCTTATTTGAGACTTTTTGAGCACTTCGGGTCCTTATTTGAGATTGATTGAGCACTTCATGCCCTTATTTAACACAATGTTCACTTTGAACCCCTTTTTGAGAATTTGACCCCGCTTGGGGTCCTTAATTGAAATTTTCCCCCATAACCATTTGTGTCTGACAACATTAAATGAGGAACAAGAAAGTCCACAAAGTAATGCAAGCACACAAACACAAACAAAGTCAAATAAAAGGACACACAATAAATGCACTTGAAAAAAGAAAACGTAGACTTCTTTCTCTTCACATATCTGCTCTTTTTCATTAAGTGTGTGGATAATAACTGTTCTATTTTAGCAATAATTTCTGAATATCTGATCTCAGGATGAGTTTCTGAAAAAAAAACTCGTTTGATAATGTCAAAAAATTTCTACTTCTATAATAGAAACTCATTTAATAACAGCATAAAATTTCTATTTCCTAAAATATAAACCTATGGTCACCCAATAAATTCCCAGGAAATTTCTATGTCCTGGTTGAGAAAAGTCAGGTATTCTCAATTGACTTTTTTATTTTCTGGAGATTGTGATATCTGACTTTTGAAATTGTTCTGGAAATTACAAAAAAGAGAAAGAAAAGTACAAAAGGAAAAAGAATAAATAAATAAATAATTTGAAAAAATATTAAAAATTGTCCACGTCAGCGCCAAGCGCACCATGTAGGATGGTCAATATCCATGTTAGCAATTCTGACCAAAATTTGCCAAAGAAAAGAAACAAAATACCTTGATTTTCCAAACGATACTACAAGTGTAAGACCAAAGATGTCGCTGTGCATCAGATCAAGAATCCCTTTCGCTTTCCCTCCTATGGATTCAAGAGACACCTGATTTTGTTTCCCACGTAGGCAATGTTCACAAAATCCAAAACCCATAGAATAATTTGGAATTCTATCCATCATTTTCTATGAGGTAAAGGTCACCGGTCCTTTCTCACCAATATGACCCAATCTCTAATACCATAACATTGAATGATCTTCTTCCACCTGTTCTGAGATGTAACTCTCACCACTGATCACTATACTTCCCAATAACTTCCACAATTTTCCATACCGTTCTCCTTTGGCAATCACCATAGTTCCATGGGTTAGCTCGTATGGATACTTGTCACTGGTGAAAGTAATGCCATAATCTGCCATAATTCCTACAGAAATAATATTCCCTATAAGATTATGAAATGCATCACATCCCGAAAATTCTTGATTGTCCTATCTTTCATCTTTAGCTTCACCTTTTCCCAACCGACAATATCAAGCATCATGTCATCTTTCATTCACACTATACCTCCCTGATGTGGCTCATAACAACATAGCAAATTTCTTTGAGGCGTCATGTAGGAAGACACTCCAATCTCAATTATCCATGCACTACAGTAACCCTAAGATGAAATGCAAATGAGATAGATGTCTCCCGTGTTGCTGTCATGATCCTTATTTACACTTGAGTATGGTGCCTCATCTCGCTTCTCTAAGCCTACACTATTGCTTTTGCAATCCTCCTTCAAGAGTCCAGGCTTTTTGTACTTCCAATACGTTATTTTTTTATTGATCTTGGCCTTTAGATCTTCCTCTAAACTTGTTCTTGCCACTAAATCTAGATTTGAAACGTTCGATGTTCCTTCCTCTTACGAAAAGAGCCACATACATTGCATTAGCAGAACCTACTCTCCTCATCTCCTTGAACAATAGAGTAGTTATAACGCCTTTAAAGGATAATGTATTATCACCAGTGATAATTGAAATATAATATGAATTCGGCACTGAACACATCAAAGTACATGCTTTATATTCCTCTAAACTTGTACATGCTTTAAACTCGTTGGAGTGCAAAAAAAGGATCATCTTCACTCACCCGAAGGTTATACAGTCGCATCCATAGAAATAGTTTGTTCATGAGCAACTTGCTTTGATAAAGGCTTCCCGGCTTCATCTAGAGATCTTTTGCCATCATGTTCATCGGGACATTATTAGCAAGACATAGCCAAATCAAGCTTCGCACCTTCCGATTTTTGCTAGTCCAAGCCTTCAATTCAGTAGACATGGACTCCTTCGTCTTATCTTGAGACTCTCCTCAATTTTCTCATCTTCGATCATGTGCCACAGATCTCTATCCATCAGCAAAGTCTCCATCTTCAATTTTTATAACTCGAAACTCTTTCCTCTGAACTTCTCTACTTCGACTAGTGATTGACCAGCCGATATCATCCCAAGATTCAATTTTTTTTTTCAGATCTATTTTCACCAAGAAAACATAACCTCAAACCTTGCTCTGAGACTAGATGTTAGGATCAGGCACACAAACACAATGAAATAAAGAGCAAAGGCGGGAAAGAGAATTCGGGACACAAGATTTTATGGATTCACCCTTAATGTAACGCCCCGACCTCGGGGTCATTAACGTGACATCCCGTTAATTATTATCTTTTGTTACACACAAACAGAAGCATATCTCGGGACAATCACAATCAACACACAGCGGAAATAAGACAAGCAGCATCATGAGCAAACCTTATGTTTACAATGCATGCAAACATGTTTTAACAAGCCCTTCGGGCCATGACAAACAACTCATATTTCATAGCCGATTACAAATGGCAAAACTTGACTTGGGTTATCCTATACCCACTATGGCTTCTCGCTCCTTGCTTCTTCACCTTCACCTCGGTCCCGTCCGCCTTGCCATCTCACATCCCGCCCGTGGCTTTATCCCGGAGCCGGCCCGCCCGCACCGCCAAAGCACCGTTGAACCTATGCACGGATGAGGCACCAAGTCCGTTAGGCCCTCATCGAATCGTCACAAGCATCGTGATTCGGCGATAGGAACGGTCTTCTCTGACATCTATCACGGTGAGCACTTCGGCTCGCTGTTCCACGGGATTGCCAACGCGGGCTGGGGGAGATGCCATCCTACGGACCTGAAAAAGGGGAAACAACGGGGGATGAGTCGGGGAGACTCAGCAAGTGAAAACACTAATATCAAGTGAGGACGAGACAATCGTAGTTCACACAAGTCAATTCTTACCGTACCGGCATCAATGGCATTTCAAATAGCAAAGTCATGCTACGAAATCAACCAAACAAACATCAAACGTGAGTATCACACGTGAACATCATTAGATGAGAAACAACGAACAACCATGAAACCAAGAAACGGGCTAACCAACCCATGTTATAACGTATCGTAACTTCCTTTCCCGATATTAGGGAATTCACTTACTCAACGATAAACAAAACTAGAGAACGGGGTTCGAGACGGGCGAGCTCGGGAAATTCCGGGCTTTCTCCTTGCTTCCTTCTTGCTTGGCCGACCAAGACGAGGCCTACCAAGGCCAAACCGTGGCTCTTGGATGGGAACGAGTAGGAACACGGGCCGGTTTGGGGTTGGTTTTGGGCGTGAGCTTCTCGGCCAAAGTGAGAAAAACAAGAAACAAAGGAAGAAGAAGATGATGGTGAGGTTGGCGTGAGAGAGGAGAAGGGGGTGGGGGCTTCACGTGAGGTTTCTTGCTTCCTTATAGCCAAATAGGCTTGGAGAAGAAGCCAAGTATTAATGTGCACAATAGTCAAAAGTCATGATGGCTTGTATTTAATGCCATTAAAAGCTATTAATGGACTAAAATGATGAAGAGGCTAACATTATCTCTTCCTCATTGGTTCTCCTCTCTCTCTCTCTCTCTCTCTCTCTCTCTCTCTCTCTCTCTCTCTCTCTCTCTCTCTCTCTCTCCTCACGGCTACTCCCTCTCTTTCTCTCTTGGCCGAATGGCCTCTTTCAATTTATCAAACCCCAAACTTGCTCCTCACTCAAGACTATTAATGCTTGTCATGATGAAGAGGCCTCCAAAGTCTAAGGTCATGATGGATAGCATTAAAGTTCATTAATGAACTATAGCCAAAGGATCACGATGAAGAAAGCACAATGAATCCAAGCCACTAATGATTTCTCTCTTCCTTTCCC